ACACACACATTGTTATCAATACTGACACTGTCGATTCAACATGCTCGTAAAAATCAAAAGATTTGTCATTTGATGACTAAACGAAACACTCCCTTAACACCAGTGCTATGACAGGTTTCACATGAAACCGACCAGATCAGATCTAATTTATGTAAGATATGGAGAACTTCAATCATTTCAGAACCATTATATTATACAAAGTAATTCGAACGATGTATCAATGTGATATGTCGTTGGATGAATGAGATGTACTCGGATGATAGCGGCATTATTTTTGATAAAACATATCGCTGAAATCATCAAGAGAACTTTTTCAAGTCATCATCCTTATCCTTATGTCAGGCGTAATTTAATTTTGCATCCATGAGTTGTTTCTCTCCCGGCGCATAGCGGAAATTGAACAAGCGTCGTGCCGCTGGTATGATGTGCTTTGAGGCCAAGCTGAATTATATCCACTGGTCACATCAAGTAGATTAATGATTTTGGTAGGCAAACGATCGATAAATTTGATTAAACGGCGGAAAGAACCGGTTGTAATTACTGACTGTTTTGATCACAATAATGATAACATTATGAAAATTGATATTTCTTAATGAAACACTTGCATCATGAGCACATACCATTTACAGAAAACACACAAGAACTGCATGTGCCATGGAATATAGCAGTAGAGCTCTTCTCTCAAAATTGCATCCGTTATCTTCTTCACGCATAGATCAAGTGGTAGAAGTTCGTAGAAACTGAAACTGCGATCATTTCTACTAAAATTCACACTGATAGAGCTTTACGGAAGAAGGGATGGCTTATGGAAGGTGAATAAACGATAAAATTTCTAGCAATCTTCCAATGCTTTCAAATTATTTGCTCAAAGAATGTCAGGTAAATTTTCGCCTGACATTCTCCGAAATCGTAAGATGCACATGAGAATTTGTTGAGGTGAATGATTCAGTTTGTTCAGCACCATAAAATGTTGGCATTTAATGGTGTTCACATACGTGCTGAAAGGTGTGATTTGCTTTTCGGCAATGAACGGTGTATCCATAAAATACGGATAAATTTGTGTGGTGGTGATATTATTGTTTTTCTCAATCAGCTCCATATGAAGAGATTCCATAAATCCTCTAACGGCGAATTTCGACATACTGCAAAGATTTGCTGATTGATGCTTGAAAACATTGCAAATCAGTGATCATTCCGAACACACGATATATTAATCAAATGGCACCACTGAACTTATAATTATACTTTTCGTCAGCGATATTCTCAATCGACTTTTTTCATTCCTTAACTCATTCAACAGCAACATCATTCAAAAGAATACAAATATAAACTCGAATGCTTGATTAATCACATGATTCATTAATCACATGAATCAACCATTGTAATTAACGCATTTTTGCAATTATCACTATGCTCTTGAAATCATCTTAAACTGATCATCTTGAACTGATCGCCACTGATCAACTTGAAATCACTAAACCAACTTTCACTCACCAGTAAGCAGATCCCAAATACTCTCCGTAATGACTACAAACTGAACCGATCGCGACAATTTGTCCTCTATTTCGATTCATCATATCCCCAACAAATGACTTGACTGCCTAAAATTTCATTAGTTCTCGAGAAAATTTTTCATTTTTGATGATGTCTCCTGAGATGCTCACAGCAACCCATGATGACTCAAGTACACTGTACTGACTGCCCTATGAGCACTACTCTTTTCATGTGTTCATTTCATTACTTACAATGTAACGTAGAACCTTACTGGATCACTAGAAAATTCTCATGCTTCTATCAATAAGTCATTTTTGTCATCACTTTCACGTTATCTGATCAGAACTCCTCAGTTTCCAGCCTATTAATCCACGTTCAGTTAGCAGAATCTAAAGAGAATCAGTTCAGACGTACATAAATATAGCCGAGTATATTAACGTTTGTGGTTGTCTTGAAATCTGCATCACTCAGATCGAGCACAGTTCCCATTCGAAGGACTGCTGCATTGCAAATCAGAATGTCCACATGACCTTAAACGCAAAATGTTATTGACCAGTGACACTCACAATAAGGCTGAACGGCTAATTGGATNTGAATCACTGCAGCAGATCGGATGATCTTTACTGCTCAGTTTTGTACGGACCTAATTCAGGTGACGAGTATATGCTCTTAGCACATGCACGAACACTTTCCGAGTCCGAAACATCACATTTGAAGAAATATGCTTGTCCACCCTCATCGACTATCTCAGAAACCGATTCCAGTCCATCATTCTGCAAAAAGCGATATATCATTGCTACTGATCTTATCATTTATTTTACTATTATGTGCTCATGGTGTTCGTCAGTTTCATCGCTACTATTCTGTTGCTATTATTGTGATTACAGATAGTTTGGTACAATTAGCACTCACACCATTATTTAATTTGATCGCATAAAATAGATTAAATCCAAATTCATCATTTCACTTATTCAGATCAAGAGAATTTCACAGCGACTTCGTTAGTTCAGATTACAATTAGACGAATTGAACGACCTCATTTATGTCCAGAATACAAACAATAGCATGCTCTTTGATGGCAAACTGCTTTGCCAAGCCTTTTCCGAGACCACGACCACCTCCTGTGATAACAACAATCTGAATATGAAAACGAATGACTACAAATTTTAGAGTTGACAATTCATCTGATTCGATGACTGTAGGAAAAACTGAATATTAACAGTAATTGATAGCAACACCTGATTCGTGACAGATTTTCGTGCAGAATAGAAAAGGAGCGGCAGTTCACGGAACAGAAGAATGTAGACGTATTGGAATGCAAAGCATATAACCATGAAAATTCGCTTTAGCACTGGTTCACGACTTATAGTGCCCATATTGCCTGAAACGTTAGCCGTTCGGAGTATCGCTAAGCCTTTCGAACCGTGTGTCTTCCGGTGTTGTGAGAATGCACGAAAACGGCTGCACCACTGGAATGGTATGCAACTAGTCGAAGAGAACATAG